AAAAAGTTTCACGCTAAAAGCGGAAGAAAAAAAAGAAACAGTCTGGGTATGTTGTTGTGATGGAGAGGAAAAAATAGAAATAATTGGGTTTCAAGTTGTCGGCACGTTCAAATGAAGTCAGTAGTTGGGGGGAATCAGGGGTATCAGTAACAAGATTAACTCAGTAGCCTGCTGTTGCGGCAATCAGACTTAATATTGTGTAGGGCAAAAACAAAACAAACATCACCAATACATACCTGAGTGAATGTGTGAACGTGTTGTTTAACTCATGTTCAGTTTACACGTGTGTATGTCAAATTCATTTGATAAATATGTAATTTTATTTTTATTTTTGGTTACATATCTAAAAGTATTCCTTACAGTTTGGGGATTACCTATTTTAAATGTTTCTTACATAACTACTTTATTGTAACATATTTAAACATTTCTAGACATATCTATTTTGGTGTTCCACAAATATGTATTTTGTTTACTTATTTTTCTATACATATCTGTTTTGGTGTTCGAAACATACATATTTTGTGTTTACTTTTTAAAATGACCATACATAGGCCTATATGTTTCGCGGTTAAATAATTAAAACTTTCTACACATATCTGTTTTGGGGTTACATATTTAAATAATTAAAAAAAATATTCTAAGTTTATATATTCAAATGTTCCATACATATCTGTTTTATAATTACATATTTAACTAGTTCTATACGTGTATGTTTTGTTGTTTTATATCTGAACGTGTTTTTAAGTCAAGTTCAGTTTAACGCGTATTAATAAATTTTCTTCATAAATTAATACTTTATTTTCGGTTACATACTTAAACATATACCATATTTCGTGTTTACATACTTAAATTTCACACATATTAATTTTATAATTCCATATTTGAACATATACTACACATGAATGGTCTGTGGTTTGATATGTGAACGCGCCCCATACATATGCTTCGCTTTGTGGCTTCTTTCAATAAAACGCTATTTGATGGCTACTTCGGATTTATTTATTCCCCACATTACAAACTAATTATACCAGGGACTTTATTTTTCCGCCCACGACGCGGGGCTACCTCTGGAGTCTAGCCGTGCCTGGAGCGCGGAATATTCTGGCGCCGTGCGTGCACCTGCAGCCTTCCCTGGCACTCGGGCTCCCCCATCTTTAAGCCATCAAATCCCCGGCCCCCAAGACGCACCTCCCGGGCTTGGGATGAATTAGCGACGTTTTATTTCCCGGTGTTAAACACTGGCGGGGGTTTTCATTTCAATGGGGAGGGGGGGGTACGACTTCATGCTTGGGAGCCGTGATAGTTTTACACGGAGCTGGGGCTGTACGGCTTCATACTTGGGAGCCGTGATAGTTTTACACGGAGCTGGGGCTGTACGGCTTCATACTTGGGAGCCGTGATAGTTTTACACGGAGCTGGGGCTGTACGGCTTCATACTTGGGAGCCGTGATAGTTTTACACTGAGCTTGGGAGCCGTGATAGTTTTACACTGAGCTTGGGAGCCGTGATAGTTTTACACTAAGCTGGTGTATATCAATCCATGCTTGAAAGTAGCCTAGTTTCTTTCTACTGAATACATTTAGCTTCCTTTTCAACACCGGAACTACATCATTTTCTTGTGTCTATATTAAACACCAGGGATACAAGAAATACTTAGAGCCTAGAGAATTACTCCATCTATATAGACATATACATATACAATATCTATCTATATATGATTAATATTATATATATATATATATATATATATATATATATATATATATATATATATATATATATATATATATATATATATATATATATATGATTATTTTGAAACTTAACCAATTTGCTTTTACATCGCCTCTATATATGACGATGAACGAAAACATTCGTCAGGATAACTCTGATTTACCTACGGTGATATTAATTGTTGTTTCACATATACCAAATCCTTTTTACTTTCTCGTATATACGTAGTATAGAGAAAGTATTGTAATCGTGCAAAAAAAATAAATCGAGATTTTTACAAGATTCAAGAAATCGGAAGTAGCGTAAATTACTACTTCCGGTCAACGGAAATTACTCAAAATTTAACAGAAGGTAGAAAATTAGATCTTTTACTTACATGTGAAATTTCATTTATCTATCTGAATTAATACTCAAGTTATAGGCTTTTGAAAAATTCAAAGTAGAAAAAGTATCACTTCCGGTTATCGGAAATCGCTTAAAAGTTGATACGGATCTACGATTTTGATAAAATACTTATATAAGAAATTTCATCAACCTAGCTCAAGTAATCGTGTTTACACACAGACACACACATAGACACACACACAGACACACAGACATACGGACAGAATTGCAAAGCCCAGTTTTTCAGACTGGATTACGCATAAAACCTTTTAATTTTGATAAATCTGGATTGATAATTTTTGCCCGATTAAAATAAGTCCTCTATACTTCGGATGTGAAGAAGGACTGAGGTGTAATACGGTGAAAATTGTTAAAATTTCAAGTGATTTTTGTGCACGATTACAATACTTTCTCTATACTTCGTATATACGAGAAAGTAAAAAAGACAATTAATTAAAAAAACAACAGCTAAGATTGTTGTTATAAAGACACATAAGGTATAAACTATTAATAAAATGTATTAATTGTTCACCCACCCCTCCCCCCCTCTCCACGTACACATGCCCTCACCGCCTTGAAATCTTCACGTGACCCCCTTACCCCCATTCACCCCCCCTCCACCAACATCACCACAAAGACCACTCACGGTCGCATCCGTACCATCATATTCTCCACCCCCCCTGCTCAAATTAATACCATTTTATCACATCCTCTACCATTGTCACCATCTCGTTGACAAGAGAGTGGGGGGGGGGGGGGGGACTCGCCAACCTGGACCCCCTAATGACCGTGAGTATGACAGGCTAATGCTCTCTGTCACAACGAAATATGGCGTTTGGCTGACGGACCGTTACAGCCGGCATTACGGCCGGCATTACAGCCGGCATTAGGTGGTATTGACCGGTAAACGTGTTAAAAGATGAGGCTAATAGGATTGTCTCAAGACCAAGGCCTGTCCTGATGGATAAGATGGAATATTGATTTCTTTCTACAGTAGCGTGGAGGTTTTTTTTTTCTACAGAACTAATGGGTACATTAATAAGAAATACTGTCAAAAAGTTGAGGCGGTCGTGTGTCGAGGGGACAGATTTTCTCGTCTGTTGAGGTCTGCTAATGCTGTAGATGACATTTGTCCTGAATGACATGTGACACGTGACATTCGACATTTGATCTAAAATTGGACAATTTTTTGTCTGAGGCATTTTGTAAAAAAAAATTGTTTTTTAGTGTTAAACAATAAAAAAAAATGAATAGACTTTGACGCTAGAATTATAGTTAAAAAGTTTGACATTAAAACCGAGTTCAGATGGGGATTGTGGTTTAAAAAAAAAAATTATGGCATCTAAGAACTTCAAATTTTATTTGAATTTGAGTTGTTCTGTGCAAATGCGTTGTTCATCAATATTAATATTAACTTTGTCGTTATTCTAGCCATTTACAACATGATAACAATGTTATATGTTAATGATATTTGAATGGTCAACAGATACTATGTAGACCGTGTAGTTTTGTTGACCATGTATATTGAACATATATATTGATAAAATATGTTGAAATGAAGTTGTACACGTCGTTATCAATTATTGTGTTGAAAATTTTGATATCAATAATTATTGATCATGCTGAAGTCAGTTATTTTGTTGCTATTACAATATATTGAACATGTTGATAAAAATTATTTTGTTATCCATGTTGATAACCTGACCATGTTGATAATGTTGTCTCTGCCCCAGTACACCTACGTGTTTGAAAACTTCACCTCCCTAGATCAACAATATGTTAAATATGTTGACCAAGTTGATAACGTTTGACAACTTCACCTCCCTAGATCAACAATATGTTGAATATGTTGACCATGTTGATAATGTTATCTCTCCCCCAGTATACCTACGTGTTTGACAACTTCACCTCCCTAGATCAACAATATGTTGAATATGTTGACCATGTTGATAAGTTGACCATGTTGATATTGTTGTCTCTCCCCCACTACACCTACTTGTTTGACAACTTCACCTCCCTAGATCAACAATATGTTGAATATGTTGACCATGTTGATATTGTTTGACAACTTAACCTCCCTAGATCAACAATTTGTTGAATATGTTGACCATGTTGATATTGTTGTCTCTCCCCCAGTACACCTACGTGTTTGACAACTTCACCTCCCTAGATCAACAATATGTTGAATATGTTGACCAAGTTGATAACGTTTGACAACTTCACCTCCCTAGATCAACAATATGTTGAATATGTTGACCATGTTGATAATGTTATCTCTCCCCCAGTATACCTACGTGTTTGACAACTTCACCTCCCTAGATCAACAATATGTTGAATATGTTGACCATGTTGATAAGTTGACCATGTTGATATTGTTGTCTCTCCCCCACTACACCTACTTGTTTGACAACTTCACCTCCCTAGATCAACAATATGTTGAATATGTTGACCATGTTGATAATGTTGTCTCTCCCCCAGTATACCTACGTGTTTGACAACTTCACCTCCCTAGATCAACAATATGTTGAATATGTTGACCATGTTGATATTGTTTGACAACTTAACCTCCCTAGATCAACAATTTGTTGAATATGTTGACCATGTTGATATTGTTGTCTCTCCCCCAGTACACCTACGTGTTTGACAACTTCACCTCCCTAGATCAACAATATGTTGAATATGTTGACCATGTTGATATTGTTTGACAACTTAACCTCCCTAGATCAACAATTTGTTGAATATGTTGACCATGTTGATATTGTTGTCTCTCCCCCAGTACACCTACGTGTTTGACAACTTCACCTCCCTAGATCAACAATATGTTGAATATATTGACCATGTTGAATATGTTGACCATGTTGATAATGTTGTCTCTCTCACAGTACACCTACGTGTTTGACAACTTCACCTCCCTAGATCAACACCTGTTGTACCAGCCGCTGTTGGGGATACCAGAGAGGGGATATATCCCGAGATACCCGACAGGTGAGTGACCTATTAGAGTTGTTGTTCTTGGTGATTAGAGTTGTGGTTCCTGGTGAGTAGAGTTGTGGTTCCTGGTGAATAGAGTTGTTGTTCCTGGTGAATAGAGTTGTTGTTCTTGGTGAATAGAGTTATTGTTCTTGGTGAATAGAGTTGTTGTTCTAGGTGAAAAGAGTTGTGATTCCTGGTGAATAGAGTTGTGGTTCCTGGTAAATAGAGTTGTTGTTCTTGATGAATATAGTTGTTGTTCTTGGTGAGTAGAGTGCTTGTTCTTGGTGAATAGAGTTGTTGTTCTTGGTGAATAGAGTTGTAGTTCTAGGTGAATAGAGTTGTGATTCCTGGTGAATAGAGTTGTGGTTCTTGGTGAATAGAGTTTGTTGTTCCTGGTGAATAGAGTTTGTTGTTCCTGGTGAATAGAGTTGTGGTTCCTGGTGAATAGAGTTTGTTGTTCCTGCTGAATAGAGTTGTGGTTCCTGGTGAATAAAGTGGTGGTTCCTGGTGAATAGAGTTGTTGTTCCTGGTGAATAGAGTTTGTTGTTCCTGGTGAATAGAGTTGTGGTTCCTGGTGAGTAGAGTTGTTGTTACTGGTGAATAGAATTATCATACCTTGTAATAGGAATTGTTGTTTTTGGTTATAAGAGCTGTTGTTCTTGTTGAACACAGCTGTTGTTCTTGGTAAACGGAGTTGTTCATGGTGAAAAAAGTTGTCGTTTAGTTTATGGTGAGACGAGTTGTCGTATTAGGTGAACAGAGTAGTCGTTCTTGGTGAACAGAGTTTTTGTTATGTTTTTTTGTGAAATGTTGTGTGGCAAGAAGAGTTGTCGTTTTTTTGTTGAAAAGTTGTGGTTCCTATTGAAAAGAGTTGCTGTTCTTAGTGAGAAGAGTTGTCGTTCTTGGTGAAAAGAGTTGTCGTCCTTTGTCAGCAAACAGTGTATAGTATATACATACTTTCTTAGTGTTACATTACACCAGGGGTCGGCAACCTTTTGAGACGGAGGAGCCAAAAGCTACAATTTACAAAATTTCCCAGTTTTTAAAGAGCCACTAATATAATTTTTTTCAATATTTTGGTATTTGATAAGGATTAGGTAAATAAATTTGATTTTTTATTTGAAATAAATAACATTAAATATGAACTAATATTGATTCATATAAAAACAAATGTTTCGCGTAAAAATTGTTTTAGCTAGCTCTGGTGTGATAAAAGTAGTAATCAAATAATATATGTATATGACAATAACCTTTTTTTTCTTTACGGACACCACTGGCTCAGGAGGTGTCTCCCATTAACCAGACAGGCCTCAACACGGCAAACTCCGACAAACTGGCTTGGATATTTGATTACCGTGTATCGGTCGCTTCTGTCCTTCGGTTATATACAAGGCGTATCTTTCACCCTACTCGAACCTAGAGTCTAGTACATAGCTCAACTGTAGGAAGCTAATAACTGAAATATTACGTCACTCAGGTCGAATTAATGCATACTGACTGGTAGAGGAATGCTTTCTGGATAAAATAACATTCACCATTTAACGGTATTCGAAAAAAGTCGGCACTTGGGCAGTGGCAAGAATGGAACAAGTCATCACGTGGCTGTCCATAGCACGGCTGTGGGGCTAGCCTGGTGCCCAAGCGGCTGTCAGTTTTCCTTATTTGCTCTACTTCACCTATTCTCAATGTTCTCTGATGAGTGTTTTTATCCTGTTTAAAGTTTAAGTTGCTTTTCTTTACAATATAATTTTTAATGAGTTTTGAAATTAAAATAGTACAGTTAATATTTGCGTATGGAATTGAAGAGCGGCATCTTGAAATCAAAAGTGCCGCATGTGGCTCGCGAGCCGCAGGTTGCCGACCCCTGCACTACACTGGGAAGTTTTTTTTTTTATTATTATTTTTTTTTTTTGTAAGATTTTTTTTTTTCGTATATATACGAGAAAGTAAATATACTAAATGACAAGATTTTTTATAAGAGTACAATCTAGCAACATATTTCCTCGAAGACACATCTATAATAATAGTTTCGCTGTCTGTCTATCTATCTATCTATCTATCTATCTATCTATCTTTCTGTCTGACAAGAACGCTCTAGAGAAAACACAAGGAAAATAAAAACATGCATAGTAATTCGAAAAACGAAGTATGACGTCGACACATTTAGCGCACAGAGTAGAAAATAATCTCAAGCCGGATAGTGCACACATTGATATGACGTCATTGATTATCGATATTCAATACAAAGGCAATTTGGTCTAATCTAAGTGGTTTGCGTGAAGAGTTTCTTTCATACAATTCTTCGGGTAGGGGCGAAGCCCCACCCCCGCGTAAGAACGTCTGAGCCCCCCCCCCCTCCCCAACTCAAAAGAAATTTCCTCATCGATACTCTATAATAAAATTACCGCCTAATTAATGTGTCTAATCTTAAAAGTGGTTTTCTTGCAATGGGACGGTAGACATGTTGTTTTTTTTTGGGGGGGGGGGGGGGGGGGGGTGGAGGGGTGGGGGGGGGGGGTGTGTGTGTGGGGGGGTGGAGGGGCGGGGGGGGGGGGGTGGTGTGTGTGGGGGGGGGGGGGTGGGGGGGGGGGTTGGTTTCAGTGTTTCTTTCAGACTTTTTCCTCCCCGGAGAGGGGTGGGGGTACTTGAAATTTTCGGGGGCGGGGGTAGAATTTTCTGGGAGGGGGCGGACACTGGAAAAAGTATATAATTATATTTCGTTGAATGGGACGGTAGACATGTTTTTTTTTTTTGGGGGGGGGGGTGTGGAGGGGTGGGGGGGGGGGTGGTGGTGTGTGTGTGGGGTGGGGGGTGGGGGGTGGGGGTGGGTTGGTTTCAGTGTTTCTTTCAGAGTTTTTCCTCCCCGGAGAGGGGTGGGGATAATTGAAATTTTCGGGGGCGGGGGTAGAATTTTCTGGGAGGGGGCGGACACTGGAAAAAGTATATAATTATATTTCGTTGAATTGGACGGTAGACATGTTTTTTTTGGGGGGTGGGGGTGGAGAGGGGGGGGGGGGGTGGAGGGGTGGGGGGGCGGTGTGTGGAGGGGGTGGTGTGTGTGGGGGGTGGGGGTGGGGGGTGGTGTGTGGGGTGGGGGGGTGGGGGTGGTGTGTGGGGGGTGGGTTGGTTTTAGTTTAGAGAAAAGAGACAGCACTATCAACCTAGCGCCCGGTGTATCCTTCCTCAACGGGCCATTTTTCTCGTAATACAATAGATTTATGTATAACGCCTATTATTAAACAGATCTTTTTAAAACATTAAGGTTTTTTAAAGTTATTTTAGTCCAATTTATAATTCTGTAAAAAAAAACCTCCTTCGCGAATAAATGCACACGCATAGTCTACATTTTTAGAGTTAAACGAGACAAGCCACACTTCTTGAAGGTACTCGGCTCGGTCTCGAAATAGCCAGAGGTGCAAAACAGCTCACACGTCGCTGAAGTCTCTCAATTAGGGTTGTCTGTCTTTGTTAGCAATTAGAGTTGTCATTCTTGGTGAAAAATGGAGTTGTCGTTCCTAGTGAACAGTTGCTGTTTCAGTCTATATTAAACTTTTTGTTTTTGCAGCGAGAAGATATACCCCAAACTAAAACAAATTGAAGAAATAGATTTTTGTTTTTCAAAATAAAAATTAGTAGTGACCAGGGGCGGAACTACAGTGCCGCCAGACCCCGCAATGCGGGGGGGCCCAGACCGATTGGGGCCCAAAAATCCTGGCTAAATTATTTAAAAAAAATTTTAAAAAATAAAAAAAAATTAGGTGGAGGTCGAGTTATCTTTCTTCTACAGTTACAAACACGATAGTCGGCAAACGTCTTTGAGAAAAATGCACAGACTATAGCTCGAGAGACCGCTAGACATTCATAAAGTCAACTTCAAAGACGCAGCCTACCGTTCTTTTTAGTGGCGTCGATTAGGAGAACAAAAAAGCATTGTTATATTGTTTACATTATTAAAATACATATCTATGATTGTGTGTTTAAACTACTGGCCTGAATGCTACAAAAAAATATAATTATTTATTTCGATCTCATACATTTATAATTGCGTTCATTTTTACTTTAACAACTGTATCAATAAACTTGTAAAAGTCGGAACTATTGATGTAGATGTTTATCGGCGCTTTCTTGTCCCCTTCCAATGAACCTTCCCAACTCTCTCCCCTGCCCCCTCTCACCCCTACCCCTCACCTTTACCTCTCACCACACCCTTACTCTTACAATAAGATGTAATGCATAGATTAACGAACCGTCTATGAACTGTAAACTGACCACTTCTGCACATTTTGTTAAAGACACTAGTCAGTAGTTGTTCATTTACCTGATGAACAGGGGCGGAACTACAGTCCCGCCAGTCCCCGCAATGCGCGGGGGGGGGGGGGGGGGGCAGGCCGTTTAGGGGCCCACGGCTGACCAAAATTAATATTTTTTTTAAATTTTGAATTTAATTTTCGTGCATTTTTGCCTTAATATTTGGTTTGTAAAAGAAAAACACTAGCTGCGGTACGATTATCTTTATTTTACAGTCACTATACCACGCTCTTCCGCAACAGATAAAATCCATTAACAAACTACAGTGTAAAATATAGGCAACTCTTCAAATTTGAATGACTGTCTTCTTTGACTCGTTGCCCCCCCCCCCCCCCCCACCTTTAATAGCTAAATAGAGGACACGTAACTGTTTGACCGATCCTCAAAAGTGTACTGTCGCGGATGGGGCAGGGGATGGGGACCAAAAAGGGGGTTCAAAAATTGTCGACAAATTTTTTACATATTTAAAACAGTTATTTATAGTTGTATTTTTTAACCATCGTCAAGGCCGAGTTCTATTTCCCTACAATCAAACACACGCTGTCGCCGGCAAAATTCTTTTTAAAAAACAACAAAGTCCATAGCACGAAAAGCCGCTACATATGAAGTGGGCTTTCATGATGCGCGGTTCTTGTTGGCGGCATTGGTAATGGAACCGAAATCCATTGTACATTTTTCAATGTTAATGTGTTTGTGATAGTGGTTGAATTTGTATCCTGTACTATCTTGCATCCTACAAATAATAAAAAAAATAATATAATACTATACTAGAAACTTCAGTTTTATATACGGTTACTTGTTTTTGCTTTTACAAGAAATATCATAGTAAACTTTTAAAGCCTATACTTGGAATAATCTCCCCTGAGTAAGTTTTACAATGGGCGATGCTGACGTACATAGATCAAGGCGTTTTGTTGTCGCTTTCAAGTTTTTTTCCCGAGCCGACCCCTATCCCACCCCTCTTTCTCAACCTTAGAAGTATCGAGGGGATAAATGTATCGTTTATGAACTACTTACTAACCGTACGATTCACCACTTCAGCACATTTTGTCAGACACTAGACAGCACTAGATCTAGATCTAGTCAACAGATATTAATTTACTTTCATAGTATTAGGCACATCTAATTCACAAAACAGGGCAGGTAAGATTATTTTTTTATATAATTACTTAGAAATTAATTACGTTTAGAATTAATTGAACATTATTAATAGTCAATTACTATTTATAAATGACGTCATTGAGGTGGGGGTGTGTGAGGGTCTGGCTTTTTGTTAGTTCCCCCCCTCCCCTAAATCAGAAGGTTATCCAACGCGTGACCTGGCCACATACAGTTGTACATGTGAAAAACATTTTTCTGTCTATTTTGCATTACTGCACCATTCACCAAATCGCCATGAAAACTTGGGGAGCTGTTGAGTACAGCCCCGCAAAGGTTTCTGTCATAGGCCAAACATTTGTACATATTGGAGTGGGGACTCCTAACGGAAATATGTGATTTAGCGCCCCGTGATCCTGCATAAACGGATGAGGTTACTACTTGAATACAACCGGCGGCAGTGTCATCCAGAGCGCATCACATATGAGTAAGTTGGCCCCCACAGACAGTCGTTTAAAAGTGCCCACAACACTAGGAATAAGTCTCGCTACAACACTTGATGACTATATCTAATTAGGTGTCGCACCAATGTTTCTTCCTGGGTAGACTGTTTTTGGAGGAGGGGAGGGGGTGGGGGAGCTCTGCCGGAAGAAACAATGTGTTGCACCCATCACCCGTGCAGTAATGTAACCAGTGGCTCCCAAGAGCCCCGTGACTCCCCTGACACCTGGGTCGTCGCCAAGGGACTTACAGCATGCCTTGGCGTGTCTAGTTGGTAGTGTGGACAAACCCGCGCCCTAAGATCCAAGAAATGAACTGCCGACATTGTTAACATTTAATTCAACTTCTGGAAAACAGGGCACACGGTTGGTAACGTTTTGATGAAAGCCTCATAAAAATCGGCGTCAGTTTGCAGTGTTGGACTAGATTTAGAGAGTCCGTGCTTCCTTCATGGAAAACTGAATGGGGCCAGCTCGTGTGTTGGAAAACCTCTGATTTATTCGGGTACCGGATAATTTTTTTTAAAATGTAGAGCGACCTTTGTTTTTCATATATATATATATATATATATATATATATATATATATATATATATATATATATATATATATATATATATATATATATAGGGGCCCAAAAAAAATTCTGCGGGGGGGGCCTTTTTTTTCTAGTTCCGCCACTGGTAGTGACATTTCAATCTACTATATATAAAAGGCTACATTAACTTAGTTATTTTCAGTGATTTTCTTGTCAATTTTATTGAATAAAAAAAAAATCACTAGCATGTTCATTTCCAGTTACATTTAAATAATTATTTTTTCATACATTTAAACCTGAAAATTTAGAATATAAAAAAAAACAATTGTTACATTTTAAACGTTACACTTGAACAATTGTATGATAAAAATTTGAACATTTAGAAAATAGAATCAGGAAAGTTCAGAAGATCAATGACGGTACTGAAAGTACATCTCAGGCAATTAAACTAATACACTAAGAAGATATTAAACTTGAACATTTAAAAGATCAAAACTTAAATATTTAGAACATTAGAAAATTGAACATCTAGATTCTAGAATATCAAAACTTGAATGTTTAGGATATCAAAACTTGAACATTTAAAATATCATAAACTTGAACATTTAGAAGATCAAAACTAAAACATTTGGAAGATCAAAACTAGAACATTTAGAATATCAAAACTTGAACATTTAGAATATCAAATCTTGAACATTTAGAATTTCAAAACTTGAACATTTAAAAGATCAAAACGAACATTTAGAAGATCATAAGCGTGAACATTTTCAGATCAGTAACGCATCAAAAACATCTATTTCAGTCATTTGAACTTAAACATTTAGAAGATCAAAACATGAACATTTAGAAGATCAAAACATGAACATTTAGAAGATCAAAACATGAACATTTAGAAGATCAAAACATGAACATTTAGAAGATCAAAACATGAACATTTACACCATCAAACATGAGCAATAACAATACCAGTCTTTAGTATTTCAGATCACCATACCGTGCAAGGGGAAAGAGAAAGGGGTTGCTTCCCTTCGAGTTGGGCTGAAAATATTTGACCACTGGCAGAAGCCGCTCAAGGGGACGCCCATCCGGATACGATTGAAGAAGCAATGTGTAGCATTCGGTAGGTAGCCAAACTGTATGTAGCCTTCGTTATGTAGCCCGACTGTATGTGGCCTTCGTCGTGTAACGGTGTATTATATGTAGCTTTTGATATATTGCACCAGGTGTAGCCTTCTGTATACGCCACTATGGCATGTGAAAGATGAAGTTTGTGAATACGTGTACATTCTATAATCACACTAATGGGGGGGGGGTGGAATTAGGCGCACAGTAGCTGTAATGACGGGAAAAGGGGGAGGGGCAGCTTGCTGTTGTATCTATATTGTTACAGTAATTATGATTCACATTAGCACTGTTGTGGTAGTGGTTCTTGGGGATGGGGGGGTGACCTCATTAGAGCAAATATACTGTTATTAGTATTGAGAGGTAAATTTTAAAAATTCAAGAAAATTAACTTAGTGATTAGATAATACATACTTTTCATTACGTGAGACCTCTGATATGATTGAATATCCACCAAGACCTCCTTGTTATGAATACCATAGTGACGCATCCAGTGAAAATATTGATTGAGTCCTTAACAATACAGTCAATAGCAATTTTACATGGGACAGGATTTATGGAAAAAAATGTGGGAAAAAAAATTAACAAATTTCAATTTATTTTGTATTAAAATACACAATGACTGATGTGCACTTAACGGCGTTTTAATTCCAATGTTCCTTAAGAGACCAAACATTTAGAGCTATTAATCATCAAACCGTCTATGAGATGAGTGGAGCTATGGTGACTAAACAATGACTTCTGGTAGTATTGTGCGGTTTCCGATAATTTATGACTTCCGAGCTGATCTCTCTAATCAACGACGTGTAAGATGATCGAGGCAGTTTTTGCTTACCCCTGACGTCTGACACGTGTATAGCTGAGCTCCTTAACGTCTGTAATTGAACGTCACATGACGTGCATAGTTCGGTAACGTGAGTTCACAATCGAGTCTCCAGTAATGCGTGTCTTGTGAAGCTATTTGCGTACACTTTCACGCATTTTAAAACTTAAAAAAAAACGGGTTTTTTTTTAAAGATAAAATACCTCACGTTCTCAAACATTGACAGTAATTTCACTCACACTTCGCCGCCAAACTTTGTAATAATAGCTGCCGAACAACAACTAACTCTCCCCACACAAACCAAACACACAGTTAACCCTCACACAAACACAACCACCTATCCCGCCCCCACAATAGCATCTCCTGCATCAACCAATGTCCATTTACATCATCATCACCAGCTAAAAAACTTCGCAATCCATCCCATCCCTCACATATTTTCTTCAGACACACCCACACCCACCCACACACACCCACACACACAACGCAATTATCGAGTTAACACGGCTGTCCAAGTTAAAACGTAATTAGAATCAAACAAAAATATCACAAAGCAATTACCCAGCCCTTACACGGAACACTCAATACGGAAAAGGAAAGTTCTAGATGTACTAGATCTAAAGAGTTCTAGATGTACTAGATCTAAAGAGTTCTAGATGTACTAGATCTAAAGAGTTCTAGATCTAGCTTCCCAGGCTTCAGAGTTCTAGAACCAACTCCCAGACTAAAGAGTTCTAGAACTAACTCGCCGGTTGAAATCCTGAGCCAGACGCATCGTCCAGATTCACATTTTAAAAATGACTGTCGGAAAAGTTCGAAAAAAAACCCCACAAAAAAAAAAGTTTTAAAAACTTAGCAAATTCCTCCATTTTCGTTTCTGTCTTGTTAGAGAAATATTTCAAGCGATTTTATGGATACACGAAGAAGAAAAAAAATCGACACGCATGGATTGCTAACATTAGTGTTTTTCTTCAGTTAGTTGAGTTAAAATTTATGACTTTAATTCGTCTCCATGCATTGTGAATACACCAACAGTTATTGTTCGTTCGTCATATCTTATAGCATACCTAAATACATATGTTAACTATCTAAAAGCGTGACAGGTTCGTTTTAAATTTTGATCAGTTTCAAAGTTTGAAACATAAAAAACAAGACGCGAAACTCACAAAAAGATGCAAGACAAATAAACTTTAAATCTGCGTGCTTTGAATAAAAAAAATACTCTTCACCCATTTTTCCTCCAGTAATTTGTCGATTGGAATCCGAGTTAAAATAAGGGAAATTGGGTGTAACAATGAAAATAAATCTTTAGACCGGGTTTAGTTGTTGGTTTTTGCAGGGAAGCATTGCCAACGCGTGGTGGGCGGGAGGGGGATGAATCAGAACTTGCAAGGCTAGTCGAACACGTGACGTTCTTCAACCAATGGCCGGCGCTACATTTCCCGTTACAATTTCCGCTCCGTTGAGCAAAAAAGTGAACAGAGCTATGTGAAAGAGGGAAAAAATGAGAGCGACTCTAAACAAAAACATAATTAAATTAACATTGCTAAGTAGAATTCAGGAACCTCTAATTACTGGACTGATACAATAAACAGCGGTTATTTTATTTTCGCTCAATCACTAATGGTGTCTGCGTACGTAAAATGCTAGTATGTATTGTCAAATGTCTGATACTGCAGTCTGTAATGTAATAGGGTTCTTAAATAATAGCCGTACCCACGAGTAGTACATACAGACAGAGGCGTAGCAGGGGGGGGGGGGGGGTCGGGGGGTGTGGACCGCACCGGGTGACACCATTTAGGGGGGTGACACCAAGGCAAAAAATAGCAAAATATATAGAGAAAAACTTGAGGGGGGGGGGGGGTGCAAATCGAAAGTTTGAGGGGGGTGAGGTGCGAATCGAAAACTTGAGGGGGGTTGAGAAAACTTGAGGGGGGGGGGGTGACACCATTAAGTGCCGCACCGGGTGACACCCGACCTCGCTACGCCACTGCATACAGAGGCGTAGCTAGGGGAGTGTGGGTGGGCTGCTGTCATGGGTGGGGGATAAGTTAGGATTAGGAATGGGGTTAGGTTTAACGCTGTGTAAAATCGGTAGCTCGAATGGCGACTATAAACAATGCGTGAGTTGTTAAACTACAGGCACATGATTGTTTGAGTTGAATTGAAGACCACAGTGATAAAACAAAATTACCACCATCTTAAACTAGTTAAGATGGTGGTGATTTTTATTTTTTATTTCTGTTCAGCTGTTGTGTTCATGATATTGTTTTCTGTTGACTTGTCGTGTTCTTGATATTTTCTGTTTGAGTTGTCGTGTTCTTTGCGTTTTTGGTCTGTTTGATTTGTTGTGTCCCACATATTTTCCGTTGATTTGTTTCTTGATATTACTTTTGTTCCGTTAAAGCTTCTGTATCATTGACATTGCTTTCTGTTAAACTGTTGCATCCTTGACATCGTTTTTCTTTTTCTGCTTGCGATGTTGTGACCTTGACATTGTCATCAGGTTTTTATTTCTTCTTCCGGTAGTCACCAGCTCCCTCTGCAGGCCCGGATGTCGGAACGGCGGCACGTGCAACGGCCACGGTGTCTGCGAGTGCCCCCAGGGTTTTAAAGGGCCATTGTGCGACATAGGTAGGGAGTCTTGCACGTCCGTGCCTCCCATCTTCCAACCCCGCATGTTATTTAACATTTGCCTCAGAAATCTCAAGCAAAAAACGCGATCTGACAATGAGTTATCTATAGACTAGTAATTAAGCCAAGAGCTTCAGAAAGACTCCACTTTATATGCGTACTTAAACGTTGTTCGGTGATGTAATGTACATAACACAACGAAGTCATAATCCAAGTCAAGTCAGTCACAAAGTTTTCATAAAAGTTTTTCTGTTAAGAAAACAACCCATCAGATATGATATTTTCCAAATGGGGTTAGGTTGATGCTTAACCAATTAATTACCAAATAATTTATTTCCTAAATGAGCTATATTCTTTGATCTATTTTGAAATATCCAAATATCATGAATCCAAATGTCCAATTAATTTTCGCCAAAATAATCTTTGTCAAAAAGTAAACATTATTAAAAAATATTTTTAAAAAAAATAGAGGCCAAATTTTAACAATCAATGTTAATATGTTAAATTTTTTGTGTCCAAATAATCATTGTCCTAATGCCAAAATTATTTTATTTAAAAAGAAATAATCTGTGTCTAAATATTTAAGTGATTATGGCCCACATTTTAATATAGTGTCCACATGTAAAAAAGAAAAATTCCAAATGAATCAGGCACAACTACCGGAAAAAAATTAATAATTTAATCGTAATTAATCAATATCCAAATGTCAAAATGATTTTTATTCTCAACAATATAGGTCATCGTGCCTAATAGACACATTCTCCTTAAATTGACACCAACATGATTTTATTTCACCATGTCGACCTAAACCCAATTGATTTTATAACCCGTCTCTAAATGCGAGGCTCTACCGAAGAAAGGCGGTGAAAAACGAACGGTTTTCATTGTCTAAAAGCGGAACTGACAATACTGAACGCAACTTGATCGACCACCCGTCCAATACTCAACTGCTTTAGAACTGGGGTTTTGTCCTAACTTTTTGGCTGCTGATCGATCGCTACCTGCCAATATCGATGTTAAATTTAATCAGCGCTGACTCCAGAGCCCTCGTTAACCGGTGATTGATTTTAATTACATTAAAATTGCAGTTGCAGTATATTCATAGGCAGTGGGAAACTGTATTCAGCGCGTGATGGCCTGTATAATTAAAAGGAAAAATATAGAAAAGCTCAAAACCTACAAATTTAAGCATGCCTTTGAATAATAACACAGTGTTGCTTATCTGAGTGGGAGGGGGAGGGTTGCTTACAATGTTCGGCTATGTTTTCATTAGACAATGATTTTTTTGATGACGTAATATTTCATAGTTGCCAAGGCTAAGCCCTTTAAAAAATTGAATCAAAAACATTTGTCCCATCTCAAAAGAAATTCCCGTAGATTAACTTCGCTGTAAATTTCATTTAGCTATATGTGTGAGATATAGGACGGCGTATAGAGAACTAGACTGTTAACCCGAAAGTCTCGAGTTCGAATCCGGGGTCTAGTCAGTAGAATGTCACGTTAGGGCAAAAAGGCAGCTGGGCATAGTGCTGGCCGTAGGTCATTGAAGCAGATGCACTATTTCATCTATGTATCTTGGGGACAAACTGAAAAATATGATGCTGATCTTTGTACGTGAATATCCTTACAAGTTGCACAAAAATGTATCATACTTTAACCTCCATTGTGAGAAATACTGACCCAGATCATGTTCATCACTTACGTAATTTACTGCTCTTAAAGAGACTCACATCGAGGGTCTTCTACTTTGGCCTAACAAAATTGAATAAAAACATCCCTAGTTCTAAAACACAGACATAATGTATTGCAGTACACAGACCTAAGGAAAAAAAGTTCCGACAACTGCATGTATTATGAATCAACACATACCATTCTCTTTGCAATTTTGTCTATTGTAACCTTTGTATATACTATCTTGTATGTTCTCTTGGTTGAGCCGTGTTACAAATTTAACCCACACCTGTATACACCTGTCCTTTGTTTCCCACCCACACCTTTGCACTATGGCACCCCCGGGCCACTCTCCACTCTAAGACTATCACGTTCTGCATGTTGCTTATATCACTGCGGCGTTGCTAGGGTGAAGCGGATAAGGCGACCCCCTCGGGCGCTGTTAGGGAAGGGGAGGGGAGGAACTAATCTAAAATCCGTCCTATAATTCTAAATACGTAAATAACAATGGTGGTGACATCGATAGCACGCCCGGGGCGCTGAAACCCCTAGCTACGCCGCTGAATTATTCTATGTACAACTTGTCCATATACTTCTGTAACATCTATGCAAAAATTGTACTGTATATTTGTATAATTGTCCCTTATTTTACCCGACTGACCCTAGGTTTTCAAGATTACATTTTGAAATGTTCAAATTTTAATGATGTTTAACATTTTGAAAATTTTAATGGGCTTAAATTGCTTTTTTTCTTCTTCTATAAATGAAAATTAACAAAGCCTGCTAATGGTTTAAAAACATTTCTGAAAAACTTTTAAAAAAGCAACCCATATTAGCGATAATTAAATCATTATAATTTAAATGGGATTCTGAATTAGAACACCATAGTGTAAAGTCTAGAACAGGGGACCTGATCTATTAACACAAAATTAAACAGGGGGGGGGGGTGACGAAAACAATGGTCCACAGACTGTCTAGGGTGAAATAGACTAACACCAGACTGTCTAGTAAAAGAGTTTAACTAAACTAAGGACCCAAGTTTGTCATTAACAGTAGGAGGGGCCCAGTCTCAGAACACCAAGCACCAAATTAAAATAGTGGGCCCTTGATTAAGTTAACTAACCTAGGATATCATCACTTTATAGTTAGGGACCTTTACTTATTAACGCACCACAGTCTACCAACACAACACATTAAAATTTAGGGCCCTAGTTTACGTTAAAGTACCCCAGGTAAATGTAAAGCAGGAGCAGGGTGGGGGATGGTGATTGCTTCACGTATCCCAGGATACCCTCGCACCAAACTTGCCTGATCTCACACGCTTGTTTCATCTGCTATGACTCTTCATTGACCTTCACCTTTCAGCTTTGTGCAACCCGGCATGCCAGAACAATGGCACGTGCATTTCCCCGTCAACGTGCTCGTGCCCGGCTGGTTTCCATGGCAACTACTGTGAAAAAGGTACCGCACTGTCCACGTAGCACCACCTGAAGAGCTGGCTTGCTCTCTGTATCTACTTCCTCTCATATTCCTGCGTTTGAGCATGGTTTTTTGGAAACGTTTGAAACATCTCACTTCTCTTCTTGAGGAGCGTGCACACAATATATTATAGGATCCACCCTTTATACACCATAACCATCGACCATCCCCCACTTTATAAATAATATAAAGACCCACGTCCCACATACTACGATACCTTTGGACACTACATATTTAAAAAAAAAACAAACTTAGAAATAATTGTTTCTAATGTTTAAAAAAGTAAATTATATAAGGTTGTTAAGTTAACCTATTAATGTAAACATTCTAGATTGAATACATTCGAAAATTAAAAATTGAGCAACGAAATTCAAATACTGATTATACAACATGGCGCGTTATCACTCCTATCAAATTAAAAACATAAATAACTGATAAGCCATCAATATGATGCCATTTCCCCTGTATTTAATAGTGTGTGCACGATCCTTTAGTGTTTTCCTACATCATATATATATCAAGATTTATAAATATATATACACATACACAATTATATATAAACGTACATACATATAAGCACTAAAACAATATATATACATATACATATATATATATATATATATATATATATATATATATATATATATATATATATATATATATATATATATATATATATGCCATGATTAATCTGACCAAATTTTCCAGCACTGTGTGGCCGATTATGCCAATATGGTCACTGTGTACCAGAGGGCTACTGTTGGTGTGATCAGGGATATTACGGAGACGCCTGTGAATTTAGTAAGATGTAATTAGGGTTTAATGTAAGATGTAATTAGGGTTTAATGTAAGATGTAATTAGGGTTTAATGCAATAAGTAATTAGGGTTTAATGTAGTTATGGTTTAAGATGTAATTAGGGTTTAAAAGGCAATTTGGCTTTTTGTAAGATGTAGTTAAGGTTTAAGGTGTAATTAGGCTTTTTGTAAGATGCAGTTTAGATTTAATGTAAGATTATTTAGGGTTTAATGTAAGATGTATTTAGAGTTTGATGTAAAATGTAATCATTTTTTTATGAAATGTTAGTTATGTACACCAACAAAGTAGCTGCAAGCTTACGTTTCATAAAAAAGTTTTTCTCTAAATCTTCCCTTAGGCTTGTGTGATCCCAAATGTAAAAACGGAGGGACCTGTGTGGGACCCAACCACTGCCAATGTACTGCACCGTTTGGTGGACCATTATGTGGTGAGAATTCAAACAGCATTTTTTTTTAAATTCATTATATGGCTTTTTTTTTTTTTAAATTTAACTTTTGAAAGCGCCTATGTTATTTGCGATATTTCCTATTGAGATGTGCTTACAACAATTACTTTAAAAAATAAATATACGGATTTCTCTTAGCTGTAATTCTTTTAAAGTGTAACCCACACTGGGAAGTGTCTTACGGGTAATATCAACCCACAATATGGTTCTTAGACTTAGACCTACATATTATGTCCCATACTGACCCCCGCCATAAGTTCTTATATTGTCCACCACCGAGACCACGTCACCATACACTTCTAGCAAAATACCACGAATCATAGGATATAGATTAGCCCATTGAGCTCAGCATGTTAAATCCTGCTAAATTTACACAGAGACATCTTATTCAGCTTCTATATTGAACCTGTTTTAGTTCCCAAATGGACCCTTCCCTCTTATCACTAGTAATTACCCAGTACCAAATCAATCCCCATCATGGGTCCCACATTGACCCCCATCCCGTAATGATTCCCTCATTGAACCCATCATGAGCCATGCACATAATGCATCATGAGTCTCACACTGACCCAATCATGGATCTCATATTGACCCTCTTCATGAATATCACATTGACTCCCATTATAGTTTCCACATTGACCCCCCCCGGTATTATGGATCACATATTGACCCCCATCCTTATGTTCTTGACCCCAACAGAGATGAAGGACGACACAGAGAGACCAAGAAGAAGTAACGAGCCCATCATAACCAAGAAAAGAAAAGTTGCCAAGCAAGTCAATAAAGGTAAACATTTTGGGCAACTTTACCACAGAAAGTTTTTTTCTGTTCAATATCGAATTCCAATAGTTAGCATCTTTAATGTATAATTCCAAAAATTTACCCTGTAAGGTAATGCTATTACACTGATTTGTTCCAGTTTAAATTTATCATTGGTTAGAATGAAGATTAAAGTCTTAAAAGGAATTTTGAAGACTGGTACTTCATTTTTGTATGAAAATATACACATATATAAATTTCGATAATTCAAATATGAATGCTTACGACCTAACAAATGTGGCCTAAAATAAACATCTTTGGTAGATCTAAGAAATAGATCTAGAATCTAAATATTCATATTTTCAGTACTTCCAATGTTGTGCTTTATTTGTGTGTTTTTTTGTAAAAAAATTATATGAACGAAGTAGCAACAAAACGATTATTTCTTTTTAGAAAAATATATATGTATATCAATAGGCCTACTTTTAGAATTACATCGAACTAAAATCAATAATCTGAATGTATTTCAGGCGTGGAAGAAAAACTCAGAAAAGCCGAAAAGCGGTTACTGAAAATCATATTCAGACGTTCTCAAAAATGGGACTTAACTTCTGAGGAACAGCAAATGCTGACGAAAATGAACTCTAAAACGGACAGTCTTTTGCTACAGGAGCGTCGGTACCTCGTCAATTTCCTCACCCGCCATCGCCGGCATTTAGACAGCAAAGACAAAACGAAAGTGAAAAGGTTCAAAAACTTGATCAGGAAATCCAAAAACGGACAAAAAAAAAGTAGCAGGCGGAGAAAAGAATGAGGGTTTCAACACAAAACAACCAACCAAATTGATGACGTCATTTGCGGTTTATTATCACACACTGCTTAAGGTCATAAAAGGTCATTAGTAGACATGCGCACTAGAGTATTGACGTATTTCCTTTTAAGGGTTTGAATCTCAAGTCAAACACTGCTATCCAAAATAAGCTATCAGATGCATGTGGATACAAAGTTCTTTTTTAAGTTGAATTTTCCGCATTTTTTATTCAACAAACATATGCACTCGTATTGCAACTACATTGCTAAATAGCTTATGTGGTGAGAGGTTACGAAATGAATAAAAGGCGTCAGTCACTGCGATGTTGCATAATATCACCTGGCTCTAGATTCTACGTATGAAGTTCACCGTCAGGTGTGACTGTAGATACTTACAAAACACATGCTGTAATAAGCTTGTATTACTCGACGGTAGGGAAAATATCTTTAAAAATATATTTAATGAAACACTAACTCGTGTCAGCTGTCCTTACACACTGTGTATGTGTACGAATGTTTGTGTATCATTTTTACACATCTGTATCTAGCTAGTCCCTTTCTAATGGTTCTCTACGTTCTAAATCTTTCCCTAGCTAGTTTCTTCCTAGAAAATTCCTTATCTACCAATCTCTTTACTAGACTCTAGCAATACATATTCTCCTGAGCTTGTCTAGTCTCGTTTGTACTAATGTCTTTACTAGACTCTATCTAGCTTTACATTTTCTCCTGAGCTAGTCTCTTGAATACCAATGTCTTTACGAGGCTATCTAGTTATACTGTCTTGCTAGTGTTTTCTATTCACACTCTTTATAGTAGTCTCTTTATCGTCGATCACTCCTAAGTCAGTATGTTCATAGCCAGTCTTTTCAAGCCCTTTACTAACTAGTCAATTCGTAGCCAGGATTTTCCTCAGTCTCCTATGCGTCTCTTTCTGCGAGGTCATCACCTAGTTTTCTGCTGGGTTTCTTTCCGACATTTTCCGTTTCTCTCGGAGAGGGGAGGAGGGGGTTGGGGAAGGGGGTTATTAGCCTCCTGTAGGGGGGGGGGGGTGATAGGATTGCTTAAAGTATGTATTTCTATTCAAATTTTATTTTTCTGTTTCGTTTGGGGATGGAGAACGTGTTCTGGGGGTGTGTCCCCCACCCCACCCCTCCACCCGACAAAGAGATGACTGAAAGAAACACTCGTTTTCCCAAAGAAAGCTAATACATGTGAACATGAGTATTTAGGCTGGGTGATATTTTTTCTAAATTTAACGGCTGAACACTCACGCTTCAAAAATATAAGGCGAATTAATTATAATACTGATATTCTAAAAATTGTGCCAGTTTTTATATCATGCTTTAAGTAGTTTTACTGACAGTTTTTAGTGGTTTTATACAATATGTATCAAGTATTTGTTGTTGTGGAAAAATGATGGATTCTTACTCAAAAAACATGAACAAATTAACGACAAAAGGTACAACCATTTTACAATAAATAAGTTTAATAAATAATTTCCCGTGGAGAAAATAAAATGTTGAGTTATTTTTCTTGACAGTAACATAATCTCCCTAGATATTAGCCTTGTTAACATTAGTTCTGTATTTCGTTGCATTTTTATCACAATTATTTTTTTCTAATCAAAAGCCATCTAAGACAGAGCTTTCGAAATTGTTATTAGCTTGCTTTGTAAACAACGTGTCCAGAGGCGTAGCTAGTAGTGGAGCAGAGGGAGCTACCGCTCCCCTTATACATTGTTAGTAAAGCGGCGCCTTATATATATATATATATATATATATATATATATATATATATATATATATATATATATATATATATATATATATATATATATATATATATATATATATATATATATATATATATATATATATATATATATATATATATATATATATATATATATATATATATATATATATATATATATAATATATATATATATATATATATATATATATATATATATATATATATATATATATATATATATATATATATATATATATATATATATATATATATATTTGTGTTAAAAATAAAAATAAACAAAAAAAAAGTTTTAAACGAAAACAAGCTCAGTGGAGCTCACTAAAATTAAGCTCTCAAAATCTCAAAACATGTGTTTAACTTACAGCTCTATTAAAACAATTAGCTCGCGGGCTTTAGATGAGCTAAAAGCTTTGGAGTTTAGTTCTTTAAATTTTAGCTCCTGAATCATTATTTACACAAACAAATAAACCGTCTATCAATAAAAAATGTAGTACACAAATTCTCACAATTGAGTTCTGTTTAACTGCTTTTAAAAAAAAATAATTTTGTACTACAACTGAAATGCAGACACTATGTTAATTGTGGGGAAAAAGTTATTTTTTAAACTGTGGGATTTTATTTTTTACATTTAAGAGTCTACTAGTCTTACGAGTTATTTATTTATTGTTGTGTTCTAGAAATATATTTCTCAACGTTCCCTTAGATTTGCTATTGTTTATATATTTATATATATTGGTGTTACAATTTACTTTTGTGTTATATATACGTGTCCATCTTTATGTGTAATATATTCCATTGTACAGAAGAAAACTTAGAATTGTATAAAACTTGTGTAGTTTTATGTGCATTTTTTTATATAATTATTTAAGTGAGCCTACTTTCATTAAATTAATTTCTTAAATTTAATACTATCGAATTATAGAGTTTACATAACTTATAGGGGTGACTATATCATATTACTAATGTTCATAACTAAAATGTAGGCCTATTTAAATTATATAATAACTTTGTAGTTACGCCACTCTAGATTCGTAATTCCAAACTTCCAAATTAAAAAAGTAAGAGACCAAAATTCTACGAAAAAGTTTGCATAATTTTGAATTGGCCATACGAGGTTGCTCTGAATATTTTAAATATTATATTATTATATAAATAGAGGCACCCACCCTCAGCCATAATGGTGTAGGGGCAGAGAGGGACAGAATTATAAGTTTCCCTAGAATTTTTAAAATCTTGCCCTACAAAATATATGCTAGATATTAGTTTTAATTTTTAATAACGTATTATTTATTTAAAATTAAAGTTTGGATGATGTAAATAATTCATCTACATAAAATATTTTTATTAAAACAAAATAACATTGTGCACTAGCCCTAAGTCTGTGTACTCCCCCCGAACGTGTATGATATCATGACTACGTACAACGTCTCCATTGTGTGATGTAGTGCTCTATGCCAAAGCTTCGACGGGCCAAACACAGGACCGCTGCACCGATTACCTTGATGTGGTTATGAATTTATTGTTACGAAAATAAACATGACAATAACCAGATACCTCGCCTAAAAAAATATGTTCTTCTCATTTGGTTGTAATAAAAAATCAACAGTAAATATACGAGCAGTGTTTTTTTTTTTTAGCTGTGGCGTTATGCGTGCAAGATTTGGGTTTGTTGTGAGAAAGGTAGACTGGCTTGCTGAGAGGGTATATAATAGGGGATAAGGGGTAACTTTTTACTACATGTTTAACATGTAGTTTGAAGTATTGTAGAAGGGTGTCCATAGATAACTTAACGCGACTAAGGTGTGTGTGTGTGGGGGGGGGGGGGTATTCTTGTGCGGGTATTTGTGGTATTTAGCAGGAAGGAAAAAGGGGGGGGGGGGCTTAAATAACATGGCGTCAAAACAAAAGAGATGAAACAGAATACGTAGTGTTTTTCTATATCTTACGGCCACGGCAAATGAAACGGCTATGTGGTCAGCATTGTATGACCAACACATCCACTCCCCTCCGACTCAAACTGGGTACCCATTAGAGCTGGGTGAATTTAGGGACGTCCCTGGCAGGGTGAGAACTTCATAATACACATCTCCTACATACTTCTGCTTCTTACAAAAAGTAAAGTACCCATGAAGCTGGCGAAGTAGAGTTCACTTGTTTCAGTGACCTCGGCAAATGAAGGGATAGTGTGGTCAGCATAATGCCCAGCCGCCTTTACATTCCCTAACGTGCTTTAGATACCCATTAGAGCTGGGTAGACTCACTGACGTCCTACGGACTCAATTCCTGGATCCTAACTCGACTTCCGGATGGGATTCGTATGTTCCACCACTAAAACAAGCTGTCTCTCTGCTTTAAGAAGTGCCAGTCAATTTGCTTTTTCCGGACATACTTTTTTTTTTACTTTTAACTAAGATACGCATGGATATTAATTTCTAAAATTTTCTTTAATTGTAAATGATTCAACTGTTTATGTTGCTGATTAAAATAAACACGCGCATATCTGGTTCATAACACAAATAGTTAAACTCATTTTTCACAAAAAAAAAAGAAAACAAAACAAAAACAGTTTAACAATACATCTGGACAGAGGCGTCGCTAGGCGGGGTCGAGGGGTGCGGACATCGTTAGTATTAGATGTGAACACTTTAAAGCTTTGTACTAGGGAGGGGGTGTGTGATGCCAACTGCAAAATTTACAGAGAAAAAAAAAGGGGGGGGGGGGGTGATACCAGGAGTTACCACACCGGTTGATGCCCGACCTAGCGACGCCACTGCATCTGGACGACAGAGGAAGAAGTATAAATATTACTTTTCTTTTTACATTTGTCAAAAGAAGATAAAAAGATTCCTATTTTACAATATTACACATAGACCACCTATTTTAAAACTTTCCTACTGAAAAGGTCAAATCTTGTATCTAAACACCCTTGTGGATTACTGAAGACAACATTGTGGGTAAGAAGTTCTGCCAGGATCCAAATATTTGCCTCAGACTTGCCAATGTGTAGACTAGAAGCTTCTCGGTATAAACACAGGAGATCTCGATAAGTAGACCGCTGCGAATAACTAATTTTAATAGGTAGGTACTGCTTTGTAGCTATGGAAGACGGTAGTATCATATTTAATTTTGGCATCGCAAGGACTCGCGGTGGTAAATGTTTGAACTTGATAAGCAACGTGTGAATGTTATACTTTTTTATCTGTCGAAAAATGTAAACACAAACCCATAAGTAAACAATCACCAAGAACACTCAAATAATTTTTTAAAAGTGTTTTCTGCTGTCAGTGGCGTAGGCAGGACTAAACGTTGTAACACTTGCCTGAAGAAAAAGCTTTTGTTGAGAATTGTAATAACTGATATCTCAATCGACTACTGGGGTGGGGATGACACCAAAATTTAATAATTTTCTACAAAAGCAATGATTTTGCCACTTGAATTAATAACCGTTAGAATTAGGCTCCGTAATGCTTTTTCTAGGTGGATTAATATAAGTTGACGCCACTCGACAAAAAGGTAGAGAAAGGGGGGGGGGGGGGGGGGTGACACCAAATACTTCGGCAAAGAGCTTCTAGCGGATACAAACGTTATAAAAAAGTATTTGGTCGCTGTTACTCATTGTCCTATACATATAAAGGAGCCCAAAAATGCGTTGCTTTAAAAACATTCAGATACATAAAAAATATATATTTAAATACATATACACATGCGTATACACATACTTACAAGTGTATATGGGCATTTATATGTACACACACACACACACATACACACACACACACACACACACACAATATATATATATATATATATATATATATATATATATATATATATATATATATATATACATATATATATATATATATATATATATATATATATATATATATATATATATATATATATATATATATATATATATATATATATATATATATATATATATATATATGCCTATATATATATATAATTCTTTTGGGGGGTGTGGGGAGGTGACACAATTAGTGTGACACTCGATCTAGCGACGCCACTGCGTTTATAGGATTATGAAGTGATATAATGAATGTGCAACCGCTACTTCTGTCTAACAATTTTTCTTGCTTCCCCGCCCACCCCTTCTCCCACTATTACCCCCCCCCCCCAGTCAATTTCGAAAATTTAAAGATCCTTTGTTTATTTATAGCTTATTATAACGTGTGTTTAAATGCTCATATATTTTATAATAGGCAAATACTGCATACTTGCTTTTAACATACACACGAAATGGAATTTATATAGAAAATATATACATTTGACTGTGTTCGCCCCCCCCCCCGAAAATTGTTGTCCGCCCCCCCCCCCCCCCCCCCCCCCAAAATTTCAAGTGCACCCCGGAGAAAAAAGTCTGGAAGAAACACTGGATGTAACAAAGAGCAAGAAGCTTTTTATGAGTGTATGCTGCATTAGCAAACTAATGGAAAGGGGAATAAATCAATAAATCATAATTCAATTGTTATGATCCTAGTCGTCCTAGATCATTTAATGTCGCAACACAAAAAGTGAAAAAAAAGAAAGAAAAAAAGAAAAGATGTTTCTTATTGGCATAACAATTATAAATTATTTAACTTTATTGGCAATTTTTATTTTGTTCAGCGGAACTTCATCGCAAACACTCGATCGGGCGCAGTATTCATTTCACTTCAGATACTAATTCCTTAATTCCACCCTCCTACCCGGACGAAATAGAAAAATATACATAATTTTTATATGCTATAGACTCTAGATCTAGATCTAGTAACTAGATCTAGATCTATACATTTTAACCAGTGTCCGCCCTTTCTCCTCGAAAATTTTCAAATCAATACTCAGCTTAAAAAAAAAAATTAAAAAAAAAAATCAATAAAATGAGCTATGATGGATACGACTAGAGTTCACAACATCCGGTTCACAACTTCCGTCTTTTGGGATAACATACTTAGAGACGTTTACGTTGTCCATGTAATGTTCAGTCTGCACTTAATCTTAATTACTAATTTTTGACCTAATTAAGGCTCTATTCATTGCTAAATTTGCACACAGTATTTCATTTTATACGCCCCTTACTTTTCTGCTTTAATTTACATTCTATCATTTACTGAAAAATTATTCCTAAATTTAGAAAATTAGTCTGTAGGGCCTAGAGTCTAAGCTAAGAGTCTAGCTAGAGAGTAGACTAGACTACCAAAATATTAAAAATACTTAAAATAGGCCATAGGCCTAGATCTAATGAAAATTCAACGAGTCACTTTTTTTTTTACATTTCTAGATTCTAGCCTAAAACGATAGGTTACCATTTTCAGAATATTTATGATTTAGACTATGTCCTATTATAGAAATTTGTATCTAGAGTAGAATCTAGTAAAAATAGTAGAAGTAAAATAAAAATTTCTGGTTTTTAAAAAGCTCCCCTTTCTGCCATTTCTGCCTTCCAGATCTAAAAAAAAAAAGATCCATGGGGCAAATTAAATTTAAGTCAACTTCATGCTTCTTAACCTTGGCATATGAAGGGATGGATGAATTGATTTTTATTCAACCTGCACATATTTTTTGCAATGCAACTTCCTTCCATATCACATTTAAAATACAGTTCAGTCATGTTTTCAACACAATTAATTTGCACAGTTATCCCATTGTAGTAGAAATGCATGTTTTTAAATCTTTTAGGATGGTCTTACTTTTTAAAACTACGTTAGGAAGAAAATAAAATAACATTTATTTTGTTAGGATATGTTGTGACTTATGCCTAATTAACTTAATGTATTTAGTATTTTCATACACGGTATTGAAATGCACATTAATAATATTAAATATTAGTCATGCCTTTCATTATAAAAAAACAAGATAAATTGAACAGAAGAAACCATAACATAAAACAAAATTCTGTAATTTAAAATTTTACTTGTCAGCTTGCCATATGTAACCTATCTATTTTTTATTATTTCATCCGCCATAAAATGAATTACGTAGACTGTTAAAACTTAATTATTTCAGTCAATATTTCAATTTACGTCTTTTAGTGGAATAGGTTCAATAAAAGATATATAATTTAAGAGAACCTACTAGCTAGTAGTAAAATAAGTTGGCCTAAGATTATTAGTTATTTGAACAGTAGTCTTCCATTATTATTGATAGAAGAACTATTTTTAAGATTTGTACTAAATGTGTCCAACTTGTTTGTTTCAGATTGTTGTGGCACTTGTATGAAGTGTAGTACCACATGTGGAGTGGCTGGACTAGTTGAAGATGGATATCTTTCTAGGAGGGTTTTACCTGTTGACTGTGTTGTGTGCTCTGCTGTACATCGCAACCAGGGCAGCAATATCAACAGTCACTGATGCTAACTTCAGCTCATTTCAGAATACCTACCTGATTGTTTACCTGCTTGCAATGGGTATGTTTAGTTCACAATTTCATTATTAGAATGAAATTTTAAATTAAAATGCTATTTTTTATTTCTTATTTATATAGGTTAGTTTAAAAATATTTAGTTTTTTTTTTTAAATGCACTAGGAAAATAGCATTTTAATCTGCCGACTATAACATTTAAGTATGGCTTACTAGGAGTTGTAATGTCATACATTGTATTATTAAAATGCACAAGGCTAATACATGACTGATGCCATTTTCAGCTGGTGACTGGCTTCAAGGACCCCATGTCTATGCCCTTTATGAAAGCTATGGAATGACCCCAGAGCAGATAGACATTTTGTTTGTGGCTGGATTTGGATCTAGTATGATTGTGGGAACTGTAGTGGGCTCCTTTGCAGATAAGTAGTAAGTCACATTTAGTTTGACCATTGTAAGTCAGTTAGTTTATGTGTAATTAGTCACATTTAGTTTATACACAGTCAGTCAGTTAGTTTATGTGTGTTTGTCTCCATCCTCCTGTAATAGATTACTTTGTATGTTTGTTGTCTTGCCTGTAATTATTTTCTCCATGACAGCTAATTTTAAAATGTTCAATAATTCATTTAAATGATGTTTGATGATGCAATGTTGGGTGGAGCTACAGTACAGCTCTTTCCTAGGCACCACTAATGTTTTTTTTTAGTATTTACCTATGGCTCTACTTGACTTCGAATTGAAGATAATTAGTATTTGTTTATTACGTGCCTTTGTCAAATATGTGTTGCTATTAAGCTCTTAGCTTTCAGATTAAAAAAAAAACACTAATATTATTTTAAAATAAGTTGATAAAAAAAGTGAACAGCATATTTCAGATTAGGCACCAATGTGTCTTTTGAAATTGAATGTTCAAGAGCAAAACATCATTGTTATAATTTATTTGTTGTTTATTCTGATCAAGACCAATGGTTGAAATATAGCTATGTTTTATTCCTGATTTTTTCATTTTATAATACTTTGTTATTCACAGATATTTTTTTTTTGCATTTTTCTTTAATTCTGTCAATTTCTCTAACTGGTTGCTATAAATTCTTTTAGTACTTGTTTTTTTTTTAAACACTATTTTGGACAATATTTTTTTGCTACTTTTTCTAGCTTTGCATTTCTGTATTAGCTTTACTGTGTTAGTATGAGGTCATTCATGCTCTTTATTAACAGCGTTTCAAATTATCATTTTGAGGAGATATTCCAATTGGAATTTCTGTGATATGTAGGTGGTTTCCAAACCACAGATAGCTTTACCTCTATATTAAAAACATCATGTAAAATATATTGGCATGCATAGTACTGGCATACCACCTATTCAGTATAGAATCTGGGCTGCACCTCTGCATTTGAACATCATCTATACAAACACCAGCTGCTATAACTGACACTAATCTGAACCCTATCCCAACAATATGCTTGTTTTTTTCACTGAAGCTAATCCCTTCATCAGGACTGTCCTACCCCATACACATGCATGCAGGTAGCAAACAAGAATGGTATACATTAATACATAGAAAAGCTTATGTTATTTCTATACAGTAATTTTTTTTTTTGCTGATTCATTAGCAAACAGAAAAAAAGGTTTCCTGCATTATATTCCTTAACATAAAAGAACATTCTATGAGGATTTTTCATTATATGAGCATGTAACCCAAGTGCTATGTATAATAATTCTAGAGTTTTTTCATATACTTCCATGAAATATCATATGGCCCAGCCATCTGTGTAGTTGAATACACTGCCTGATCTACTCATTCATGCCATACACAGTACAGCTCAAACATATTTATTGCAATATATCTTGTCTAGTTCATGTCAGCTTAAATTTATTTTTTAAAATTTCAGTGTATTCTTTTTTTTTTAAATACTTTGCTCTTAAACATTACTCTTGTTTACTAAATCTAAGTTTACTAAATATAACATGACTATTAAAAAAATAAAATAAAACCAACAATGTTAGATTGGTATAAAGTTTCCTATTGATTATAAGTACAAGATCAAATTGAGTGATATGAAAACATTGTGGCAATCAATAGTTTGTAGCTCAACAGGTTTTATTGCTTCAGGCTGTGTATTGGCTACAGCACATTGTGAACCTGTAGTTACTGTAACCTTAAGTGTGATCTGGGTCTGTAGTAGTCCTTGTCATCTTAATCACTAGTGAGGTGTGTAGTACAACATGTGTTGTACAGTCATTTGAGTCACCTTAATCCTTTGATCAAGATGATGTATAATACCACATAAGCTGTAAATAACACCATAGATTTATAATACCACCACAAAAGCTGTAAATAACACCACAGAAGCTTGAAATAACCTCAGAAGTTGTATGTTAACAGAAGTTGTATGATAACACCAAATAAGATGTGTGATAACACCACAGAAGTAGTATGATAACACCACAAAAGTTGTATGATATCACCAAATAAGATGTGTGATAACACCACAGAAGTAGTATGATAACACCACAGAAGTTGTATGATAACACCACAGAAGATTATGATAACACCACAGAAGTAGTATGATAACACCACAGAAGTAGTATGATAACACCACAGAAGTTGTATGATAACACCACAAAAGTAGTATGATAACACCACAGAAGTTGTATGATAACACCACAAAAGTTGTATGATAACACCACAAAAGTTGTATGATAACACCACAGAAGTTGTATGATAACACCACAAAAGTTGTATGATAACACCACAGAAGTTGTATGATAACACCTCAGTAGTTGTAAAATAACACCTCAGAAGTTGTATAATAATACAATATTTGCTATTAGTGCATCGTAGGTAATACATAACATGGACAGAGATAATCATACAGTTTGATACATGGCATACAGCACCTTACAAATCAAAACCATAATTCTGACCCAGTAATGATGCTTGGTGTAGGTGTAATAAACTTGTTGTCATGTAGAGCTACAATACAAGTAGTTGTGTATTCTTAATGACATCGCAATCTTAATGTTCTTTTTGAGTTTAATTAATCTATCAAATTTAACATCTGTATCCCCCTTGAGTTTAGATCATGCCATTATTTAGCAGTGTGATGTAAAAAATATAGCATTACTGACTTAAAATATGTCAATTATTTTGTTTTGTGTAAATGAAAGTTTGTTTTTGCTTCCAGTGGTAGAAGAACCAACTGCATCTTGTATGGTGTTCTATATGGTGCAGCATGTGTTACAAAGGTAAGTGGAGTTTTATTCTCAAATGATGAGGTTTAGCATAGATTTATTTTCTGAATGTTTTTGCCATCAAGTGCAATCTTGAATTTGTATGTCTGTTATAACATTGTTTAGAACAGATAGTAGAAACCAGATCGTGGTCACATGGTTTTGGTATGACTGGACTGGTGCACAATAACCAGAAAAATGATGTGAGCTAGATGCAGTTGTCTCATTTTTCATTCTTTCAGCACTTTGGCAATTTTTGGATCTTGATGATTGGTCGGTTGCTGGGTGGGACAGCCACTTCAATACTCTACAGTGCCTTTGAGTCATGGCTGGTCTATGAACATAATAAGGTACATGTCATTTCCTCTTTTCATTTTGATAAACAAAAAAAATATTTCTTGACAGTGTAAATTTAATCGGCATTTGTTATACTAGTTCTTGCTTTAACCAACATACATAAATATAATTTTATTCTTACGTATTGTTTTCTTATCTTTATATCAGGTAGTGTGTAAAAAAATATCTAATTAGCATTTATTTTAAATTAGTTGCTATAAATGTTGAGAGTTATTTAAAAAAAAATGGTATGTTTATGTTAACCAAATGTGTTTCTATTACAGCGTGGTTTTGACAGTAGTCTCTTGGGGAACATCTTTAGCCTCGGTGTCCTAGGGAACTCTGTTGTTGCTATATTGGCAGGACTGGTTGCTCAAAAGTTTGCAGATCTATTTGGTTTTGTGTAGGTACCTTTTTCACTCTCCCCAAATTTTCAGCTGCAGAGATAATCAACAATACCATACAATATTTTTTTCTTGTTTTGTTAAAAAGTTTAAATATTATTTGCTTCGTATCATCAATATTTTAACAGAGGAGATGCTAATTTTTAAACCTAAAACTGTTTACATATGTTTTTAATAAGGTTAAGGGTTTAATCACTTGACAGTTTTAACAGTGTTTCACATACTTAATCTACTGTTGCCTTGTGTTTGGTTCTGTAGAGCACCTTTTGATGTATCCCTGACTGTGCTCCTCCTGATGGTCATCATCATTGTTATGACTTGGACAGAAAACTATGGAGACAGAACAAGCAATGTATCTCAGTCATTTGCTGCTGCACTTCATATCATTCAGAAAGGTATTCAGACATTTTCACAAGTTTGTCTCACACCATGTATGTAACCCTCCACAACAAGATGGGTCCCTGGCGACTCACGCAATTTCAAGATGGACCCTAATGTAGACAGGAGTTTTAAGATTTGTTTTGGGAATTTATTTATTCCTAATCATTTAATCATCATCGCATAAATTATTAGTTAGTAAAATATTTAAAAAGTTATATTTTACTCATATTTAGTCTTTTAATTACTTTTGTGACCTTGACCATAAAATAAACCAAATGTATAAATTGAAAAATTACTGCCGATACATAAGTCTTTGATCTAGAACCACTGAACAATTTTATCACCTCTGGTACATTATCCACTGGACTTTAAATTTTTCTAGCTTACAGTATAATGAAATTAAAATATGGGTAAGATGGTGTTTGAAGATTCATCATGAAACGTTTGGTCTAATATGCCAGTTCTTAATTTCTCAGAATCACATTCCAACTAAAATTTGTACATTAAAACTTATTGCTTAGAGAATATTTATTTAATGTTTTTTCTTTAAATCTAAAAAAAAGAATAAGCCATAGATATTAAATGACTTGGCTCATCCAACCATGCCATCCCCTCTAAGCATTTAATTATTCTAAAATTGTATATTTCCTCTTTCAGACCACAAAGTTCTCTGCCTTGGATTGATTCAGTCCCTGTTTGAAGGTGCTATGTATTGCTTTGTACTGGAGTGGACACCATCTTTGAGCATTATTTACAAAACAGAAAATTCTAACCCTTCGGAGGCAGATGAAGTACACACAGACATTCCACATGGTCACATTTTTGCAGCCTTCATGGTAAGTTTTCCTTTTGTTGAGGAATAGCTGTAAAAAAATTTTAGGTTTATCTAGAGATAACTTCAAATTTTAAAATATTAAATTAAAAATAATTAATATTTATTCATTTATTTAGAATACAATACGTAAGAAAGCATTTTTTTCTGGTCTTTCTATTTTTTGTATGATTTAGATGTAGTAACATGTCTAATTTATTTTTTAACTAGGTGTCCCTTATGATTGGCTCATCATTGTTTAAAATATTATGTAAATTTGCAAGTGTAGAATCTTTTATGAGGTGAGTAGTTTTATTTACAATCTTCTCAAATTATGAATACACTTATGTTTACCCTCAACGTTTTTTTTTAACTTTATCTATTCAAACACATTTTTTTGTCCACGAATTATAAAACAGTGATAAACTTTAATGTTTGTAAATTATACAAGTTTTTACTGTTTGTTTGACTCTGTAGGTTTGTGTTGTTTGTAGCTGCCCTGAGCTTGATGACACCCATATTTTATAAAGGGGCAAGTCACACTTTGTCTACTTTATTCTACTTTACAATGTTGTTGTATAAAGCTAGTGGTAAGATGGTTGAGGTGGTGGATGATCAGATAAATATGGGAGTTTTAATCACACTTTTTAACATATTTTTTTATAAATTCAGAATCAGTAATTTTCATTGGCTTACTTTTTGAGTAGTTTTAATCACAAAATGTAACAATTATCTGTTTATACATTCAGAATCAGCTAGTTATCTTCATTGGCTTCTTGCTGTTTGAAACATGTGTTGGAATCTTTTGGCCATCAATGGGTACAATGAGAGGCAAATATGTCGCAGAAGAAAGTAAGCTTTGCTTGTATTTTAATGGGATTCATTTCATTTTCAAGAATTCATACAATAAAATGATTCCTTAGTGACCCTATATATTTTTGTTTTCTGATGTTCTACATCTAAAGTTTTGTTATGTTGAGTTTTAATATGATGTACCTGGTTTGAGTAAAGTTAATTTATCTGATCTTATGCAGTTGAAGGATTTAGGTTATTATACTCAGCTGAAGTGCATTTATATAGAAAGCAAAATATAAAGTAATTTCTTTTTTCAGCTAGGGCAACTACCATGAATATTTTCAGAATTCCTCTGAATATGATAGTAGTCATCATACTGCTACAGGTAAGTAGCTGATCTATATAAAAGTAGTCATTATAATGATACAGTTGTGTAGCAGGTTTATTGACGGATGTTATAAGTTTTTTGGTGTTATTCAGTATAAATGGTGCAATACCTTGGTAGTGGGTTGCTGTTATTACAGCTGATGTTATTTAGTAGTCAGTGTTGGGTAACTCTCAGTATAGATGATGTTATACATTGGCATTGGGCTATTGAGAGTACAGGTGATGTTTGATGTTAATGTGGAATACTGTTGGTATAGATGATATTTATTAGTTAGTATTGCGTTACTGTCAGTATAGGTGATGTTATTTGTTAGTGTTGGGTTACTGTTAAAGATATACATTGGTATAGTGCTACAGTAAGTAGAGTTGATGTTAGTTTTTGGTTCCTGTTAAAATTGAGAAAATTTGGTTTAAAAAACAGCAATAGAAATGAATTAGAATTCTTGCTAACTTGCTCAAAAGCTCTGCACTTAAAAATTCTATGTATAAATGACGCACTTATCATAAATGCTGTTCACTAAAGCCATTGTTTCCTGTCATCTCCAGCACTTAGAGCGAGACACCATCTTTGAATTCTGTGCATTTTTCCTGATGATTGCAGTCCTGTGCCAACAGTGGTTGTACACGTGAGTGGTCCCAACATTTTATTCCACCTAACATCCGCCTGTTTCAATTGTAACTTGCTCTTTGTTGTGTTTTTTTAAAACTTATTTTACTCCAGAAATAGCATTCTTAAACATTTTTAAAAAACTTTTTTGAGAATTTACATCTTGATGATAAATTAATAGCTAAACACTGGTCAAACATTAATTATTAGTGTGTGAATATTGCACCAAAAAAACACTATTTATTATGATTTGTACAAATTATTTTAAGTTGAAGCTATAATTTTATTTAAACTTCACCTGCTGAAAACTGTACACATCACTTCTGCTTGAAACAAAAGCTCTGTATAACCTGAGTCAGTTGTAGCTATGCTTACTGTCAATATCATCTGTTGTTTTAATCTTCAGGGCCTGGCCATATTTTTTACTTTCTCTAAATCACATCGTAAATATAATCTGCTTAACTTATTTCTAAAACAAGTCTTGTGCTAGGTGGTAATTAAATTTTGATTTACTTTTCAGTATGAATTACCAACCACCTTTAACTTTAAAATCTACAATGGTAACATTATTTTGCTTCTGTTCTTCCGTATCCCTTCTATATCTGCATTCAAGCACAATTAACTCACTCTCCCTCTACAATAGATTTTGCAAGTTATTTTATATTCTATGTTGGGTAGGGTGGCATGGCTCAACTCAAATTTCAAACTATTTCTCTTAACACAAATCTGCACCTATCAATGCCAGTGACAGCTTAAAATCTCTAAAGCATTTTTTTTTTTTTTTTTCGCTTTTCTGTGACTGATGGTTTACGTAAGCCAGTATGAGATGGTGGTTTTTCTGCTATTGCTTTACTAATATAGCCACAACTTCTATACAAATATAGCCTAGTAGGCTTTTTAAGTAGTGATATATTATGTATGTATATATATATGTATTTATATGTATATGTATTTATATATAAATGTATATACATATGTGTATATATGTATATACATATATGTGTATATGCATATAAACATATATATGTTAATAAATATATATTTTTATATATTAGTTAGATTAAAAATATATTTATTATAATTATTTGATTGATTAAATCCTGCTCTGGTACCATGAATCCCATGATTTGTTTAGTTTCCTGTTGTACTATCTTGGTGATAAAGATAATGTTTGAGAATAGAATCCCAGAGTTTGAAGAAAGTGTGTTTGTCATAACAAAACAATGATGTTGTGGCCTGACATGATGAGCCACACCAACCATACACACACCCCACACACACCCACATCAGCCAAAGCCACACACCCACACCAGTCACACAACAACCAGCCACATACTAGCTACACACACCAGCTGCACACACCCACACCTCCACACCATCCACAGCCATAAACCCACCAGTAATTACCCACACACATCCACACACACCCATGCCAGCTATACACCAGCCACAAAAACCACATAATGTCATCTGGAGATGCTTTAGTAATCAAAGTTAAAATATCAACAAAAAAGCCTACAGTTTTGAATGCATCAAAGTCCTATCTGATAATGATATTTTAACCAGTTTTTGTACCTTATTGGTTAATTAAACAAAATAATGTGTTGTAATTCTTTTCAAATATCAGGTTATGTACCATAGGGTCATACTGGCCTTATGGTACCAAGAATATACTTTTCCATGATACCTTATGGTCATACTGGCCTTATGGTACCAAGAATATACTTTTCCATGATACCTTATGGTCATACTGGCCTTATGGTACCAAGAATATACTTTTCCATGATACCTTATGGTCATACTGGCCTTATGGTACCAAGAATATACTTTTCCATGATACCTTATGGTCATACTGGCCTTATGGTACCAAGAATATACTTTTCCATGATACCTTATGGTCATACTGGCCTTATGGTACCAAGAATATACTTTTCCATGATACCTTATGGTCATACTGGCCTTATGGTACCAAGAATATACTTTTCCATGATACCTTATGGTCATACTGGCCTTATGGTACCAAGAATATACTTTTCCATGATACCTTATGGTCATACTGGCCTTATGGTACCAAGAATATACTTTTCCATGATACCTTATGGTCATACTGGCCTTATGGTACCAAGAATATACTTTTCCATGATACCTTATGGTCATACTGGCCTTATGGTACCAAGAATATACTTTTCCATGATACCTTATGGTCATACTGGCCTTATGGTACCAAGAATATACTTTTCCATGATACCTTATGGTCATACTGGCCTTATGGTACCAAGAATATATTTTTCCATGATACCTTATGGTCATACTGGCCTTATGGTACCAAGAATATATTTTTCCATGATACCTTATGGTCATACTGGCCTTATGGTACCAAGAATATACTTTTCCATGATACCTTATGGTCATACTGGCCTTATGGTACCAAGAATATACTTTTCCATGATACCTTATGGTCATACTGGCCTTATGGTACCAAGAATATACTTTTCCATGATACCTTATGGTCATACTGGCCTAATGGTACCAAGAATATACTTTTCCATGATACCTTATGGTCATACTGGCCTTATGGTACCAAGAATATACTTTTCCATGATACCTTATGGTCATACTGGCCTTATGGTACCAAGAATATACTTTTCCATGATACCTTATGGTCATACTGGCCTTATGGTACCAAGAATATACTTTTCCATGATACCTTATGGTCATACTGGCCTTATGGTACCAAGAATATACTTTTCCATGATACCTTATGGTCATACTGGCCTTATGGTACCAAGAATATACTTTTCCATGATACCTTATGGTCATACTGGCCTTATGGTACCAAGAATATACTTTTCCATGATACCTTATGGTCATACTGGCCTTATGGTACCAAGAATATACTTTTCCATGATACCTTATGGTCATACTGACCTTATGGTACCAAGAATATATTTTCCCATGGTACCATAGCAGGGTTAATTGATGTTTTTTATGAGCTGTGTTCAGCACACTTGGTCCACCAAAAGTATCGTATAGCTGATGTTGTTTCAGGCTGTATGAAAACTCAGCCAAGTCGAGTAGCCTGAGTGAGAAGGCAGCCACACTGAGGACGGAGAGCATGGTGGAAGCTCAGGAAGAGAAAAGGGCTATAGACGACGAGGAGGAAATAGTGTGAGCCAGTTGACCATGGGGGGATTACAAAGTGCCTGTCTTTTGTCTGTAGTTCCTGCTGCGAGGTCATGTGTAGGGAAATATGTTTTGGTATGGCTAACAGAATGGTGACAGTTTATGTGGTAATAATATTATAAGGCACTAGGTCAACATTAGCTTATCAGATGTTTTTTTTTTGTTATTGAAGGTAGCAGCTCTGATCAACACTTTATGAAACAATGTGTTGAACAGTTTTTAAAAAAATTAACACCTGAAAAATATATTATTTAACACAAAAAATTGTATTTGTACAAAGTTTGCACTTGTTTGTAATTGGTGGCATATATATGTGGGGGGATTTTTTTTATTATTCATTGGGTGACCGGTGTAGAAATTCTACACTGACTAATATAATGGAATCTGTACAAAGTGGGATGTCATTATAAAAATAATAATGTGTACTCTGTATTGATTTGCAGTTATCATTAACATGGTGCAAAATTCACCAGCCTCGAATTTTTATACTTTTTTCTAACACTTACCATTCCTCACAACCATTTCTTACAAGTAAAGTATTTGCTGGTGACTTAGCATTTTCCCTTTAATGACGTTGCTCACAAGATTGTACAGGGTAATCCAGTTTTGATATAGATGTGGTGTGGTGGGAAGGCCTGACAAACTCTAGTGGATTTAGCATGCAGTGTCCCATGTCCATGTGGATATCAACACAATAAAGTTCACATCAATGTACTACAGGTTATTAATTAAAACAGTATAACCTTTATTTTATCTTCAAACAAAATATGTAAATGTTATTGCTCATTATAAAAAAACAGCATGAAAGGTTATTAACGGTTATTAACTCATTAAATTTATTTCTACTAAGATATTAATTTTTTAAGGCCTAGTTATTTGCTCAACACATTCTAGATTCTACTTTAAACATTTAATTATATATTTTTTCCGTAAACAAAGAAATCAAAACATGCCTCCCTCTTTACACAAACATTACTTGATATGTGTATTGAAAGCTGCTTTTAAGCAAACTAATATAGATTATAGAGGGTGAAATGAGTGGGTGCAAGTTGTTAAAATTAAGTTTTAGGTCTTGGATGACTTGTAAAATTGCTCCTGCTCATAGTCAAATTATTTACAATTTATTTATCTTAATTGTTACTTACAGTTATTCATATCACTTTATCATTTTCATGTTATGGTTATCATCACTTAAAATTATCAAAATTAATTATTGTCTATCATTTCCCTTTAACATGAAAATAAAAGTTATCTGAGACTTGTTGTTTCCCTTTAACATATGAATAATCAATGTAGTTACCCATTACCAAATTATGTCCCCTCACCAAGCTAATCTTGTACAATTATATCATGCTATATGTGATACACTTATTTACATTTTTACGTTCTAAAGTATTGTTTAATACAAAAATTTCACCTGAACACAGTCATTGTTTTAACATTCCTTTGCAGACTTAAAATCAGCCGTGCCATTTTTTAAATTTTTTTTTATGCATTTAGCATTATAGTGTGATTCATTTTACTAAAAATTAATCTTTATACATTCTTTTTTTTTTCTTCTTTATTTGATAACAAACTGCTTGCTATATATCATTGTGAGGATGTGTATCCAGGACTTGCTATAAATAATTAGTGTTACACTAAGTCTCAACTCTAGTTAAAGCAGACTGTGTCAGATCTGTGCTCATTCAAGTTTTTAAATTTGCCATTCATTCTAAATGCCAGCTACCATTGAGTAATTAATTAAAATAATTAGCCATTCTTTCTCAATGCCAGCTAGCATTGAGTAATTAATTAAAATAATTAGCCATTCATTCTAAATGCCAGCTACCCCTGAGATAGTTCAACTCTTTAATCTCAGCTGTGCTATCACCAAAGTAATGCATATACCCCCAGTCATCTTTGTATTGAGTCTTGTGTTCTGTAAGATATGTCACTGTCCACGGCAGTTTGGATAGCCCAGTACCAATAGCAGATGTTGAGTTTTCTGCCATTATATAGAGCAATTATAGTTTCATGTTGAAATGTATCCAACATTTTGTTCTGAGAGATTTGTCCAATTTAAAATTAGGAATCTGTATACTGACTATATTAGTTACTTTAAATGCTTTGAAGTTAAATTTTTAATACAACTCTGCTAGACGTGTACGATGTAATTAGAAATAATTAAAATAATTAAATTTGATTGTCCTGACCTTTGCTCCCAGTGTTAAAAAAACTCATTTAGCTGCTGAGGGTCACAAATGTAGTTGTTTCTAGTTCTGATATTTTAAAAACCATCCCAAGTCATATTCACAACAAGGGAATTGGGAGCTCACTTTGATCTTTAGTCATGTTGGTACGTACTATGCCTGGTTCTAGATTACACGTGGTTCATTTTTAAAATGTAATTACATTTTTTTTTGCTTGATTTTTATGTATTTGCCAATAAATTTAATTTTCTTTTTTTGTTTTAAGATAGCAGATCTGAATTTGTTTGTATTTGTTATATTAAATTTTGGTGTACATAGAATTATTTTTGTCATTTAGCTTAGATTTTTTGTGCATTGATAAATTAATATTTATTCACAAAAATGAGGGAGGCACCTGGGTGGTTTTTATTTTTTTTTTAATTTTTGGGCATTCATTCAACTAGATATGTTAGTGTTCTTGTGGTTTGACATGTGTAGGGTGCTGTCAAGATGTTCTGGAGCCATTCTGACACACTGGTTAGGTCATTCTGACACACTGGAGAGGTCATTCTGACACACTGGTTAGGTCATTCTGACACGCTGGTTAGGTCATTCTGACACGCTGGTTAGGTCATTCTGACACACTGGTTAGGCCTTTCTGTCATGTTCTGGCCAGTTTGTTATTGCTGGGTGTGGCATGGGCCGTTGTGTCACTTTGATGGGCAGTTCAGTCACAAGACAGTTTGGCCATCCAGTCACAAGACAGTTTGGCCATCCAGTCACAAGACAGTTTGGCCATCCAGCCACAAAATGGTAGGGCCACCAATTCACCCATTCCCACTTGTCAGGTTGGTGTTCATTTGTTTCACAGTTCCTGTTTATTTATCACTTCTCACTAGTTAACCCATCTCAAATTTTATTTCCCTTACAATTTGGCAAGACTCGATTGGTTAGGTAACACCTCTGGGCCATCCAGTCTATCATAGCTGGCCGATCTAATCTACTTGGCCACTTTAGCTTAGATGTTCATTCTGATATAAACACTCAATCTAGTGGCTTGATGGTACATTTTAATGGCCAGTCAAAGATATTGTAACCATTATGGCCCTTCTAACCAACTTGGCTAGTCAAAGATATTGTATGGCCCTTCTAACCAAGTTGGCCGGTCTAAGATATTGTATGGCCCTTCTAACCAAGTTGGCCGGTCTAAGATATTGTATGGCCCTTCTAATCAAGTTGGCCGGTCTAAGATATTGTATGGCCCTTCTAATCAAGTTGGCCGGTCTAAGATATTGTATGGCCCTTCTAACCAAGTTGGCCGGTCTAAGATATTGTATGGCCCTTCTAACCAAGTTGGCCAGTCTAAGATATTGTATGGCCCTTCTAACCAAGTTGGCCGGTCTAAGATATTGTATGGCCCTTCTAACCAAGTTGGCCGGTCTAAGATATTGTATGGCCCTTCTAACCAAGTTGGCCGGTCTAAGATATTGTATGGCCCTTCTAACCAAGTTGGCCGGTCTAAGATATTGTATGGCCCTTCTAACCAAGTTGGCCGGTCGAAGATATTGTATGGCCCTTCTAACCAAGTTGGCCGGTCTAAGATATTGTATTGCCCTTCTAACCAAGTTGGCCGGTCGAAGATATTGTATGGCCCTTCTAACCAAGTTGGCCGGTCTAAGATATTGTATGGCCCTTCTAACCAAGTTGGCCGGTCTAAGATATTGTATGGCCCTTCTAACCAAGTTGGCCGGTCTAAGATATTGTATGGCCCTTCTAATCAAGTTGGCCGGTCTAAGATATTGTATGGCCCTTCTAATCAAGTTGGCCGGTCTAAGATATTGTATGGCCCTTCTAACCAAGTTGGCCGGTCTAAGATATTGTATGGCCCTTCTAACCAAGTTGGCCAGTCTAAGATATTGTATGGCCCTTCTAACCAAGTTGGCCGGTCTAAGATATTGTATGGCCCTTCTAACCAAGTTGGCCGGTCTAAGATATTGTATGGCCCTTCTAACCAAGTTGGCCGGTCTAAGATATTGTATGGCCCTTCTAACCAAGTTGGCCGGTCTAAGATATTGTATGGCCCTTCTAACCAAGTTGGCCGGTCGAAGATATTGTATGGCCCTTCTAACCAAGTTGGCCGGTCTAAGATATTGTATTGCCCTTCTAACCAAGTTGGCCGGTCGAAGATATTGTATGGCCCTTCTAACCAAGTTGGCCGGTCTAAGATATTGTATGGCCCTTCTAACCAAGTTGGCCGGTCTAAGATATTGTATGGCCCTTCTAACCAAGTTGGCCGGTCTAAGATATTGTATGGCCCTTCTAACCAACTTGGCCAGTCTAAAAAGCTCATCTTTGATCACATAAAGCACTTTTTTTTTCACTTTGTATTTTACCTAGCACTTTAAAAAAAATGTTTTCATACTTTTCAAAACTATTGTTCTTTGTTCAATTTCAAGGGAATGCTACAGCTTATTTTCATTGTTTTAGAATTTAAGATGTAAAAAAAAATTTTTATGAACTTTGAAAATATAAATATTTACATATTGGTATAATGTATTGATATCTATGTTGCTTAATTAATTGTGATATCAAGTTCATTGGTTCTATTAAAAAAATAAGTGAATATTTCCAGGAGGTTTTTGTTATAATTCTTATGTTTAGAATTATTTTTAAACATTGTTATTTAATTGTCTTGGTGTAGATCTAGTATCAAAATGTGATAATAATTGTGTAGTTGAATGTTTAATTAGTTAACCAATTTTGGGTGGAGGGGGTAGATAATGAGTGTTGAGTATTTTAGCCATTTGACTTACAATAAATTTAAAATAGAGTGGTTGTTTTAATTGGGCTCCAAAACAAAAGACATTTTTTTTTTTTTGCATCCTATTGCAAAGTTTTAATTATCATTTTACTTTATCAGTGGATCTTCACTCCAAGGGAAATAACTTTATAAATTACTCCCTTGAAATGGATAGAAGGTTTAATTAATGGTGAAGGAATGTTGATTTATATTTATAAAAAAAAATATATTTACACCTCCTGGAAGACTATTGAACTGATTTTTCTATTGATTCTTGACAAATTAATGAAATGCCATTTTAGCTCTTGACTTAAGGAAACTCCAGGAAAATATTGACAGTTAATACACAATATGTCTAACCTGTTATACATGTAAACTGATGGTGTTTTACAGAACAGACTGCCTCACAATAAAAAGATCAACTGATGATCATATAGCCTTTTTGTCACAACCTAATATTTAAACGAATGAACTAATAAACATCTCATACCATTAGGAGAAAAATATTCGACAGAGTAGAGAGTATTGGGCTGAGAATTTCGACAGAGGCAATGAGCCACTAAAACAGTATAGGAAACGGCTGCTTTATTCTAAATAGAAGAAAGAAGAAGAATAAAAACCCTGACAAGGGTATTAATCATGCTCT